GTCCCTAATGCAGCAATATTCAGAGGTGGGACTTTCAGGAAGTGACTGARTCATGAGGGCTCTGACCTTATCAATGTCCTAATCTATTGATAACGGAATGGACTGTTGAGAGATGGTGGGAACTGCAGGCAGTGGAGCATGGTTGAAGCAGTAGGTCTGTAGGGGTGGGCCCTGCCTGCCTCCCATGTGTTTCCTGGCTTCCATGAGCTGAGCAACTTTCCTCAGCCTTGTCTTTCTGCTATGAGTTTCTGTCTTGGACCCAGCCCACCAAGACTGAAACCTCTGAAAACCGAAAGCCAAAATGAATTTTTCTTCTTCCAAGTTGATTTACTCAGCTATTTGTCACCATGATCTTGAAAAGCTGACCAACTTGGATTTTTAATACTTAATGTGGACTGCTCTCACATACCACTGCAATCTCATCTCTTACCATTCTCTGCCTAGTTCATCATCTCCAGCCACCCTAGCATTCTTGGTGTTCCTCAAACACAGCAGAGCAGCRGCTGTTCCTATCACCTGGAATGCTCTTCCCTTAGATCATTGTGTGGTTGCTCCTTCTGGTCATTCAGGCCTCTAATCATACATGGTCTCTTACCATATATTATCATACCTAAAAGAGCTTCTCAACAAACCCTCTCCCCCTGTGCAATTATACCCTAGCATCATAATCTACTTTATTGTCTTCAAAGACTAAACACTATGTGAAATTATTCATCTGTTTTTTGTTGTTGTTGTTATTGTTGTTTTGTTTGTTTACTATCTGGCTCTCCCACTTAAAGGAAAGTTCCAAGAGGGCAGAATCTTTTTCTGTCTTGTTCATCAATGTATTATAAGTGTCTRGAATAGTCATCTAGTGTTGAATATATGTTTAATACGTACTTGTTAAGTAAATAAATAAATGAAGAATAATATGAGAGAATTTAGGCAAACCTAACTTTTTCTCCCTATTAAACTCATCTGGGAACAAAATAGTTAAAACACATCTATGCAAAACATGAACATATCATTTAAAATCATGTCAATATTTTATTTTACTGTAGGGCAGTAGAACATTACACAATACATTATAAAATCATGTGAATCAACAAACCAACTATAAATTTCTAATTGATGAGAGAAAAAAAATCCAAGGGAATATTTTTTTAAGTGCTCATATGGCTGCCAAAGCTTTAACATGWAGAAATGAAGTAGACTCATAACCATAAAATTGGAGATGAATGGGCCTGTAATATCAATTAAGGTCTGAATTAAGGCAATAGGTTCTTTCAAAATTCAAGGAACATCCCTGTCTTGTTCCAGTTTTTAGGGGGAATGTTTTCAATTTTTCTCCACTTAGAATGATGTTGGCCTTGAGGTTTACATAGATAGCTTTTACAATGTTGAGGTATGTTSCTAYTACCCCTAGTTTTTCTAGTATTTTGAACACAAAGAGGTGCTTTTTCTGCATCTATTGAGATGATCATAGGATTCTTGTCTTTAAGTCTATTGATGTGATGAATAACGTTTATTGATTTCTATATGTTGAGCCAACCTTGCATCCCTGAGATGAACCCCACTTGATTGTGGACACTATCTTTTAAATATGTTTTAGTATGTGATTTGCCAGAATTTTATTGAGAATTTTTGCATCTATGTTCATCAGGGATATTGATCTAAAGTTTTCTTTCCTTGATGTGTCTTTGTCTGGTTTTGGTATCAGAGTGATACTAGCCTCATAGAATGAATTTGGAAAGTTTTTGTTTTTTCTATTTCATTGAATAATTTGAGGAGTATTGCTTTTAATTTTTCTTTGAAGGTCTTGTAGAACTCGGTGGAGATTCTGTCTGGTCCTGGGCTTTTCTTGGTAGGTGGGTTTTTTTTTTTTTCATATTAAAACTTTTTTTTTTATTGGTCGTTCATAACATTACATAGTTCTTAATACATCATATTACACAGTTTGATTCAAGTGGATTATGAACTCCCGCTTTTACCCCATATACAAATTGCTGTATCACATCAGTTACCCTTCCATTGATTGACATATTGCCTTTCTAGTGTCTGATGTATTCTGCTGTCTGTCCTATTGTCTACTATCCCCCCTCCCCTCCCCTCCCCTCCCCTCCCGGTAGGTGGGTTTTTGATGGCATCTTCTATTTCCTTGCTTGAAATTGATCCATTTAAATTATGCATGTCCTCCTGATTCAGTTTGGGTAGTTCATATGTCTTTTTGGTGACTTCAAGATTTTCTATTTTATTTGAGTATTAATTTTCAAAATAGTTTTTGTCTTCTGTATTTCAGTCATGTCTGTCATGATATTTTCTTTTTCATCACAAATTTTAGTAATTTGAGTGTTCTCTCTTTCTCTTTGTTAGTGTAGCTAAGGGTTTATCATTTAAAAAATTTTTTAAAAGAACCAGCTTTTTGTTTTATCAATTTTTTGAATTGTTTCTTTTGTTTCAATTTCACTGATTTCACTCTAATTTTAATTTGTTCTTCTTTTTCTAGAGCTTTGAGATGTAATGGTAGGTCATTTATTTGTTGACTTTTTATTCCTTTAATGAATGAGCTCAATGCAATGAACTTTCTGCCTTCATGGTGTTTCAGAGATTTTGGCATGTTGTATCAGTGTTCTCATTTACTTCTAAGTATTTTTTTTATTTCTTCCCTGATTTCTTCTGCTATCCATTCATCATTCAATAGCTTGTCATTTAGTCTCCAGGTGTTGGAGTAGCTTCTATTTTTAATTTTATTGTTTATTTCTACTTTCATTCCATTATGGTCTGATAGATTCAGGTTAGTATTTCTTCTCTCTCTCTCTCCTTTTCTTTTCTTTTTCTTTTTTTGTATTTTCCAAGGGTTGCTTTGTGGTGTAATCACACCACAGATATTTTTTGAATTCCTTGAAATTGCATAGTGTTCAAGGCATAGGCAATACAATGGTAAATAAATTAGATACGAACGCTGCTCTCATGGAGCATACATTCTAATGTGAGACTAATAAATAAATTACACATCTATTTCATGACAATTGTGATCTGTGCTACTGAAGTATATAGAATATGTGAGTGGTAACATATAACTAAGCAATCATATAATTAATGGGAAAGATGTTTGAGCTTATTTCTAAAGAAGAACTTAATGGGAGATGATGGGGAGTGGAGAGGCATAATTTCAGGGCATTACAGGAACAGTTAAGCAAAAAAGTTTTCTTGGTAGGAAGGAATACAGTATGTCCCCAAAATGAAGAGGTCAGAACTACATTTATAAATGAACAACAAGGATATTCAAAGATAGTGGATTTGAACAGGAATGGTGTACCACACCCAGGGCAAAAAGGATGTAGGGACATCAAATTGTGTTAATAATTTTGTTCATCATCTAAAAAATTGCAGAATATCACTTAAGGGTTGTAARCACCTGTTCCAATGTTGGAATCAGCTTGTTTTTGTACAAAGAGTTTGTCTGGCAAATTGGACCTAGAGTAAGGATTATAGGCCCATGACCTTCTGGTTGAACTTCCTCATGCATAAAATTGTGCATTTGGACTAGATAAGCACTAAAGTTTCCTTTGGCTCTAAAATTTCACAAATATTTCAAGCCAAAATATGTTACAGGTCACTTGACTTCTTGGGAAAATTTGTCCATATCTAGAAATGAATACATTTTATATCTAATTATGAGCCATAATTTAATCTAATTAAGTGTAATCAATGTTAGTAAGGATTAGAAAAGCAGGCAGAAAGGGGGCAAGATGGGGAAATTCAGCTCATCAGGTACATTTACAATTAAGGCAGCCAGTCTCAGTAAAAAAAGCAGGGTGGGAAGGGACTGTCTATCAGCAATCCTTATCTTCAAACAGTAGCCCWTCAGCATCCTTCCTCCATCATTTTTAACATATGTAATTGAAGTTCTTCACATTTATGTAATATATTACAGTTTAAAGCATCTCAATACTTGAGAGATTTGCTCAAATTAAACCCTTTCTATTTTAAAACTCGGGAGCAATGCGTGAAGGCCATCCTACACCCTGAAGGACAGGGCTTGTGTGTGTGTTTTGGAGGAGAGGCAGGTAGAAATTAAAGTGTGAAAGCTAAATGGGACTTTGGGAATCACCTCTAAGGCATGCTCCTTATTTTAAAGATGACAGCACAGAAACCTGTGAGGTGAGGTGCCCTTCCCAAAGTGATACCAAGTGGAGAGGCCTAGCCACAGTCCGGGGATCCTTCCACGATCCTGGCTGGACTCTGAGGATTCCCTTTACTTCTCCCTGGCGCTTTCAGGAGGCTGGTTCCGAGCAGCCTCAGGACGCCTGGCTGCCTGCAGCTCTCCTCCCGCTTTCTCCCCCTGGGGTAGTGGYAAGGGCACCTGGTGCAAGGTGGGCACAGCGCCTGCCACCAGCCTTTTGCGCTAGGAGAAGCGCAGTTTCTTCTGGATAACCTGAGACATCAAAACAGGCGGGGGCAGTTGATGGAGGAGTCATTGGCCCCAGCCTTCATTGGCAGCCGCGCACGAAGGGATCCCACCTAGTCGTACGGCCGTGTCTCTGGGGAAGCTGAACAAGGACTTCCCAGACTTGGTGGTGTTGCCGCAGTGGGCGGCCCCAAAGTGGGCCGGCTTGTTGGTCGTCCCTGGTGCAGGGTAGCCGGGGTCGGCGCCCTCCCGATTCGAACACGCTTTTCGCTGGGGCCTCAGCGCGGCGGGCTCCCTGTCACTTGTAGACTCTGGGTCCGGCAGTTCTCTTCGCTGCCTCGGGTCAACCGAAGTGCGGAACTGGGCTCCAAATGCGAAGGTCTTTGATATCTCCCTCCTTCTCCTTTTCTTTCTCCTTCCCGCAATGCTTCCCCGCCAGCAGGTAGACAGGCAGAGGGATACAAATTTCGCGCGGGCGGTGTTGAGGTGGGCCCTAAAGAGCAACGGACCGGAAGTGGTGGTTGTCATAGCCACCGAAGTGTCCAGCCTTTCCCCATCTAATCCTCTTCCCAGTACTCTCTCCGTTTTTACGAARCCAAGGAAAACAGAACCAGGAAGTGCTGACGCACCGGACCCCTACAAATACAACCAGATGTTATAACGACGGTTTCGGTCAGGCGATTTGGGAGGGGACCAGACCGGAAATGGTAGTTTCTATGGTAACCCCTGAGCGGGTTGCCTGGGAGATGACCTCTTGTGGTCTCTCTGAATCTCTGCTGTAGCGTCACCTAGAAGGCAGATCTAACATCCTGAACTGTCTCCTGCCATGATTCCCGGGAAATACCGCTCTGCTTCTGGCCGGACTGCAAACAACGTAGGTTGGGCCTTCCTATTTGGTCTTTCTTCCCATTGGTATTGTCCTTTCTGACTGGCGTCTTTGTCCTAGGTGATGGGCTGTGTTATTGGKACCAGGACCGCTAGGTCTACTCAAGCTATTGTCTGACCGAGGTTGAGGTTCGTGGGCTGGACCCAGGCGCCTGGAGAGTGTATAATGTTGTATGATGAATGTTCAAAGTCTGGTCCAGGATCTGGGCTCCCCAGAAGGTGGAGCTGGTCTGCAGTGTAAGATGCGGGTTCATTTAAATTCCTTTTATTAGTCAATTTCTTTTCTTTTTAAATTGATAAAAGAATCTATTCTTAGGTACGTCTATCTCCTTCACCTGCCCCATTTATTATTAATTTAGACCTGAAATGATAACTCTCGAAAGCCCAGGATACCTCAGTGGAGGGTTAAATTGGTGCCGACATTTTGAACAAATCAGCGAGACCTTTTAATTCTTATATGTGATTTTATTGATTTCAGCAAATCCTCAGAAAATTATCATTTACCCGAAACAAACAAAAATGGAGCATTCTATTCTATTTTTTTTTTTTTGGTAGAGTCTTTATCCCATTTTGGGGAGAGTGTGTGTGTATGTACATAATTTAAGAGCAAATTTTATGGTTTAATTTTTATATTTCAGGTGAACTGTGGGCTTCATCTGGTTATTCAAACATCATCGCTTCCTGAAAAAAACAAAGTAAGATTTAAGCATATTAATATTTCAATTGAAGATAAATCATTTTATATTCTATACCAATAGTACTGTGATTTAAAGAGTATATATATTTTTTTTAGTTGTAGATGGACACAATACCTTTATTTTATTATTTTTATGTGGTGCTGAGGATCGAACCCAGTGCCTCACACATGCCAGGCAAGTGCTCTACCACTAAGCCATAATCCCAGCCCCAAGAGTATATTCTTAACTGGAAACTTTAAGTATATTTGCTTTAGTCTCTAATGTAAAGTTTTTTTTTCTGCCTGCATAAAACCAAAATTTGTCCTATTTTAAAAACTTAATGTCATTTCATTGATTACATGAGGTAAGTTTTTTGACACTTAAATATTTCTGAAATGAAGATCCTTCTTAAAATTGGTATCAGGGGAAGGGAGGGGGCAGAGGGTTAGCAATGATGGTGGAATGTGATGGACATCATTATCCAAAGTACATATATGAAGGCATGAATTGGTGTGAACATGCTTTATATACAGAGATATGAAAAATTGTGTTCTATATGTGTAATAAGAATTGTGATGCATTCCACAATCATGTATTTAAAAAATAAAAGCAATTAAAAATTGGTATCAGGTCAGTTTAATTGAGAATTTTTTTAACAGTGGATGAAATAAGGATATGTTTTATTACTGATGACATCTTACACTGGTTAAAATATGGTAATTTGGGAGGGTATCCGCATTCCTTTTTAAAACAGGAAAGAAAAACTAGGTTAACTGGAAATATGTTAGGCTTAATATTACTTAGAATGTTTTCAGACTGTTGTGAAAATGAGACTCTTTTTTTTTTTTGCCATACTATTTGCCCATGATACCTCTGTCCTTTCCAGAATTTCTGGCTTTTTATTTGATTTCTAAGATTTTGAGGTAATTATGTTTGTCTACCCCTCCTGTCTTACCTAGCACTCAAAAATACTTACCTACCTCCCAAACCACTGTTTTCAAGATGCTGCATCATGTTTCCTTTAACCAAATTGGAGACCTTTGACCATCACAATTCAGTTATTTCCTGAAAGGTTGATAAATTGATGTCATTGGAAAAATTTTAAAGGGCAGAGTTTACAAATAACAAGATGAAGAGGGTAATGAATGGGGTGAGTTTGAGAAGGGTGGGTGGAAGGACCATTATTCAAGAAGGTAGCAGTTGAACATATTATGTATATATGTGAAAATGGTTGAACACTTGGAAGATAAACCATTTGATTATCTCTAATAAACACCCCTTAACTTCTTTTCATTATTATAATGGGACATAATGAATTCCCTCCAAAGCTTTCTTAATTCTACCACTGTAGTGTTTCTAGGAATTTTGTGTTTCATCCAGGTCCTTTCCAAACCATTCCCTTACTCTCGTGTGGATACATGTTATGGGAAAATACCATTAGCTCATATAATTCTTTARGACATAATGCAAATGATAATATAATGTTTATATTATGTATGAATGAGAAACATCACAATTCTTTTAAGATACATATTTAAGGGTTTTTGGTGTCTAATCAACAAGGTTGTTTTGGTTTTGTTTTTCTCAGTTCTTCTACCAGATAATTATTTAAAATTAATTTAGTGAAAACCATTCTGAGGTTTAAATATACAATTTTATTATGTTATGATATAAGCAAAGTGATTTTTAAACATCATTTAATTTTTATTTTTAGTGTGTTTTTCTTTTTTTTTAATTGAACAAATGATTCTTTTAATCATTGTATTTCTGGTGATAATGTAAAGACATTGGAAGTGCCTCAAACTGGAATTTGCTTTCCTCTGATCTCATGAAATGACTCTAATTTTATGTGTGGTAGAATACATATAACATTAAGTTTCCAATTTAAAACATTCTGAAGTGTACAACTGAGTGGCAGTAAGTATATTCACAGTGTGGTTCAACCATCATTTCTATCTAGTTCCAGAACTTTTTCATCACTCCAGATGGAATCTGATGTACATTAAGCAGTTGTTCTTTATTCCCCAGCTATTTCAAATCCATAGAAGCAACAAATATGCTTTCTATTCCTATGGATTTACCTTTTGTAGGTATTTCATATAAATGGAATCATACAATCATATGTGGCTTTGTGTTTGGCTTTCTTTCACTCAGCATGATGTTTTCAAGGTTCATCTGTGTTGTAGCATGTTATTAATTTTTTTTATCCAGAAATTTTTCCTTAAATAATGTTTTTCAGGTTGAATTCAAGATTAATAGAGAAACATCATCATTTCCTGGAAGACTCTTACAGCATGACCTTGAAAGAAACTACTCAAGTAGGCAAGGTATTGTCAGTTGAGTAGAAATCAGATATAGTTCATCTTTTTGGGATAATATTAATTGTTTAATAATGTTGAATTTCTAGATAGAAATAAACTTCAGTTAAAAATGAAATGGTTGGGATGGGGATATTGATCAGTGGTAGAACACTTGCCTAGCATGAGTGAGGCCTTGAGTTCAATTGGAAGGAAGGAAGGAAGGAAGGGAGGGAGGAAGGAAGGAAGGAAGGAAGGAAGTTTCATTAGTTATCAAATTGGTTTGGTATTTGTTTAAATCAGAATTGGTTTGATATATGTAGCACAATACATTATTTTCAATACAGAAAAAAATGTTATTTTAGTTTGAGAGTAGGCTACGATAGAGAATGGAGAATGTCCCAAATATTATAGTAGAACAGAAAAACTGGGTAATTAGGGAGACTAAGAATGTCAGAACACAAATATTTGGGAAATAAGGAAATAGTGCAAAATGGAAAGAGAAGAGTGAAAAAGAAATAATCTCTTTACTATTATTTACAATCATGAGTATTTTCTATCAAAGGCCTTCAACTTCAGTGTATACCATTTGGGATCTTGTTAAAAATGCAGATTCTTAGTGCTCCCCTTTCATCTTCCCCATTCTGATTTAGTAGGTCTTGGACAGAATTTTGAAATGTGCATTTTAATGATGCCTTAAATGATTCTAATAGAGATGGTTTGTGAACCACCCTTCAATGAGTACTGCCTAATATGATCTGGTTATATTTCTGAAATGTATTTTTAAATTAAGGAAAAAATCTTTTTAGCATATTTGAGTCATGATTGGTTGTTAGCTACTATGATGTGCCTTTGTTAGACAATTCAAAATTCTTACATACAGTACTACCTCTATCTCTTAGGAGTTTGTATGAGAGGGCTGAGCAGTAGAGGCACCTAGATTTTCTATCTCATTACTGAATGAACATAAGGCGATTTTGAATTAGTTTTCTCTTTTTGCTTTGGAACTCCTGGGCCTTCCTTTTGGATCTGTCTAATCTGGACTGTCCTTTCTCTTACATATGTCCTAGGCTCTTTTCTTGGCCAATTACTGAACCTGGTACTAACCTAATTATAGTTCTGTAATACAGGAAGCATCTTTCTTGCCATCTTTGATTCAGTTCAGTTATTATTTATAGAGTCTGTAGTATGTGTTTGGCACTGTTTTAGGCATAAAGATATGCATGTCATCTAGAAATTCTCAGTTAGGGTTTTTTTATGCTTTCATTGTGAATTTCCTTCACATTTTTAATAAATGTATTTTAATTATTTTTTCTGTAAATCATGAACCATACTTAAATACTTTCCTAAGTTTTCTTGAGTTATAGTAGGGAGTTGATATACTGATTTGTGGATGACTGGCTCCATAAATTTATTTAGTGATAAAGAATTACCATGTGTCTGCTAAGGAGGAAATAATATGGATGTATTGATTTTTGTGAACCTGAGAAGTGAACAGTTATATGTAAGTAATGACCCATACAGTACAAATTAAAAATTTATGTAGAGAAATATAAACCAATTTAGCTTTTCCTTGAAATATTTTATTCAAAATCAATAAATTAAGAATTTAAAACTATGTGTGTGGAGGGAAAGAGACACTGCTTGATTGCTAAGCTCCTAATAAGTCACTGGGAAATACAGTCAGGACTTTGGCTACTAAAACAATCTGAAAGATAAGGCTAAGTGGTACACATTTATGGCAATATACTATACTATCCATTCAGTCACCCATCTGACTACCACCCACTTGTGTGTCTATCCTCCCATGAATGTAGAGTACATACAACAGAGTGAATATTTTTACCAATTGTGGACCATTATGCCTCTTAACAGTTTGAGATACTACTTATGAATGAATTAATTCAGCATCTTTGTATTAAAATGCAAGAATTTCTGATTTTCTTTTTAAAAGAAATAACACACACTAGATTTCCAATTAAGTTTTAGTAAACTGGAAAAACAATTTAGCTACTGATTGCCTACTGAATTTAGATGCTACCAAGAAGAAGTAAAGTAAAATGAAGTTCATTTCTTAAGGTACTTAAAAATTTAATTGGGAAAACAAAGGCTCTGTATTTGGTAAGTTAAATAGTAATATATGATTAAACAATAACAGAGGAAACATTTCAATGTAAAATTTTACCAAGTGATGTGGCATAGTGATGTGGTTACATACATACACACACACACACACACACACACACACGTATGTATATGAATGAAAAAGTTTTAACTGAAGATTTCTCTGGTCCTCAAGTCATTTCGAAGATTTTTTTTTTTTTTTTTTTTTTTTGGAGACAGAGATGTCTTTAATCCATTGGACATTTGCTAGAAAAGTGAAGAATCCAAGTCCTTGTTATACAAGTACAAAGTGTTACAATTAATTTAAGACTTGCATATGCTTTTTTCCTGTTTTTTTGGCCTAGAAACATTTACAGTGTCCCTTCCATTAGGAAATGGAACTGAAATTCCAAGCTGAATTAGAAACTAACTTAGGGACAAAACACATTTGTAAGATCGGCATTTCATCTAAGATCTGGGGCATACCTGGAAGGCTTTGCATTGTGACCAACCCTAGAGGGATGAGAACAGAGATGGGAATAGGTGTTCACCTGATGAGCAGCAATTAGAGAAATGAGATTTAAAACTACACAGAGATTCCATCTTACATCATCAGAATGGCAATGGTGAAAATAGTTTTGGAAAAACAGGGAGGATAAGAAGATGGATGAGATTAGAAAAGCTAAGACTAAGCACAAGATTATTTGTAAAGCAATTAAATTTTTTTAAGACAAAGAAAACGAATAGGATCCTCAACCAGACTCCTAAAGCGCAAAAAGTAAAATCAAGAATCCACAAATGGGATGGAATCAAACTTAAAACCTTCTTCATAGCAAAGAAAACAATCAAGAATATGAAGAGGGCCAACAGATGGAAGAAAATCTCTGCCACTTGTACCTCAGATAGAGCATTAAACTCCAGGATAAATAAAAAACTCAAAAAACTTAACATAAAAAAAAAACCTGATCAATAAATGGGCAAAAGAATTGAATAGGCACTTCACAGAAGGTGAAATATGAATAGTCAACAAATATATGAAAAAAATGTTCAATTTCTCTAGTCATTAGAGAAATGCATATTAAACATATACTGAGATTTCATCTTACTCCAGTCAGAATGGCAATTATTAAGAATACAAGCAACAATAAATGTTGGCGAGGATGTGGGGAAAAAAGTACACTTATAATTGCTGGTGGGACTGCAAATTGGTGCAACCACTCTGGAAAGCAGTATGGAGATTCCTCAGAAAACTTGGAATGGAACCACCATTGGACCCAATTATCCCACTCCTCAGTATATACAAAGGACTTAATATCAGCATACTACAGAGATGCAGCCACATCAATATTTATGGCAGCTCAATTCGAAATAGCTAAGCTGTGGAACCAACCTAGATGCCYTTCAACAAATGAATGGATAAAGAAAATATGGTATGTATACACAATGGACTATTATACAGCCATAAAAAGAATTAAATTATGGCATTTGCAGGTAAATAGATGGAGCTGGAGAACATCATTCTAAGTGAAGTAAGCCAATTCCAAAAAACCAAAGGCTGATTGTTCTCTTGGAACACACAATAGGGAGGGAGGGAAGAATAGAAGTTCAGTGGAGCAAAGGAGAATGAAGGGAAGGGAAAAAGAATGGGAACAGGAATCACAGTAGAATGAGTTGGACATAACTTTCCTATGTTCATATATGAATACACAATCAGTGAAACTCCACATCATGTACTGTTATGCCAGGTTCGTGGGACCCCAATAGACCTCCAGGAGCCGAATCCGATGCAATCACACAAGAGTCTTTATTGCAAGCTCCAGCCTGGACTCACAACCATTTCAGATGGGGGAGTCCCAAGGAATAACTCCCAGTCCTTTGTTTAGGGAGATTATAGTTTTTTTAGGATATTCTATGARCCACAACATCACACAGCAAATCATTTCATACTTGAGTAGAGAAGGCAGCCTAACCCTAGAAGATTTTGTGTGTGGATTTTCAGGCCTTTCTACTGACTCAGTTTTGTCTCTTGCTGATAGTAAGCTCATCACACCAATAGTGATTATGAATTTTGTGTATGATAGTAGCTGAAAGGAATGAGGATAAAATTATGTTATTCACTGAGTGTAAATGAATTTATTATTTGATTTTTTGCCTCTATATTCCAAGTCTTATAAAGTTTTATTCTACTTCTTAAGTTCATGGTTGGCTTGAAGGCTTAAAAAATAATTCAAAAACCTCAACTCTAATGTTAACAAGAGAAATTGAGGTTGTTTATTGTCTTCAGTTTTTCCTTTATCATCTTTAGCTGACTGGTTATCTTTAATCAATCTTGTACTGCAGTTGACTCTTAGACAGTTTTTTGTTCATTTTTAGCCATCTGATTTTTTTTTTATTCCAAACCACTTTACTGAATCATGTTTGCTTAGGTATTGTACCAGAAGGTCATCATGTCAGAAGATCAGCCTGTTGGTAAACATGATATCAATTCTGAATGCTTATATTCTGGAACACCATTATTAATCATCTTGATATTTTATGCTATCCCCAAAAAAAAAAAAGCAAGATGTGAGCGCTGATTATCTTGTTCAAGAAGCTAGGTGGGGGATATTTTAGTTTATGTCTTGTAGATCTGAAGAAGTTAGCAAATACAATGGTATTTGTTAAAAGCTTTACAGCTTTTTTTTTTAGTTGTAGATGGACATAATATCTTTATTTTATTTATTTTTATGTGGTGCTGAGGATCAAACCCAGTGCCTCATATGGGCTAGGCAAGCGCTCCACCACTGAGCCCCAGCCCCAGCTCCTTTACAGCTTTTTAGTATGATCTGGTTGGAACTTAATTTTAAGTTGTTATCATATAAAGAGAACTTTAGGTTCCTAGATTTGGTTTTCCTCTTTTGATTAGCTTGAGAAGTAGAATTCTGTGGTCACCTCAAGTTTTATTATTTATTGCTCATTGCTTCCTCCAAGCACTTCCACATCAATTGCTGCTTTCAGATTTTTTTCTTTATAGAGGAAAATATGGTCAATTTCCTCTAGTAGTCACAGTGTCACCTTTGACCCATCACTTAAGTCTTGCTGCATTTTTGTAACTTTTCATCAGTTCTTCTTAACCCTCCTACATTCTTCTACTTCTTTGAGTATCTCTTAATATCAACCTCCCTTAAAATCTGTCTGTAACCCTCTTCATTAAGTGAGAAACACTTATGTGCAAATATATTATTTTTATTCTTCATTTTGTGTGTTTATTAATTTTATATGTATATATCTACTAGATTAAAAGATGCTTAATGTTAGAGACATAATTGGCCAAGAACCCATAAACCTCACGGGGGTGTCATATCTGTTATGGACCTGAATTACAAGTGCACTAGATTTACTGACTTCTATTTTGGTATCTTTGAAATAATATCTATGAATATTAGCTGAACACACAAAGAAAAAGTGATGATGTGAAGTTACATCTGTGATCCAAAACTACTTTCTGTGTATTTTATATAGCAAAGTCTTGCATTATGAAGCATTGTGATAAACTTTTTGATATTTTGAAGGAGATGGAAGAGTAATAAGTCCTTCGCTTCGTTATAAATCATCATGCATCTCATCCACAACAAACGTGACAGAACTATGTGGGCTGGAAATGAAAACTGCCACAACCTCCTTATCAGCATTTGGAGATTCTTCCATTCAGACACCTTCAAAGTCCAGAATTCGGCAGGGATGTCATAGTGCTGGCCCAAATGTATCTGGTAATGAGGGACTATCATCTCAGTTATTAGTGAGTTAAAATTTATTACTAGGGTTCAGAATTATAAAGGGATAAAGATAGCACTAGAGTAGTTCTGTATTTTCAACCAATCTGTAAGGCAAGGGAAAAACCTAACATGTAGTTTAGGTTTGAGGAGGAAAGAAACAAGCTCAAATTTAGTAATTAATTTCAAATATGGAAAACCATGGAAACTTCCTAGAAAAGATGTTTGTAGGTGTCAAAGTTCTCCAAATATAAGGTAACTTTATTTCCAAAATTTTAAAGGTTTGTCATAATCAAGTAATTTGTATATCATTTACATATAGGTGATCATATTAATTTGGTGAGCTCATCAATGCCATCATTTCCTATTCTTCACCGTTCTTCTGAAGAGAAAATTCTTTACTCAGACAGATTGACTCTAGAAAGGTGAGGACAATTTTATCTATCTACCTATTTATTTATTTATTTACTATTTATTTTTTCTAGATAATAYATAGACATGGTACAAGATTTGAAAGATGTGAAAATCTTCCTTCATATTTCTCAGCTGTCCCATTATCCTACTAAATATAGTCCTTTTTTTAAACCACTTTTTTATCCTGCCAGATGTATGGTGAGGAATTTTATATCTATATATAAAAGGACTTGACTATACTCCAAAAGAGTACTATAGTGATTCCAAAATATAGTTATGTTAGTCAGTTTTGCATTACTATATCAAAATGCCTGAGATAGTCAACCTAAAAGGAAGAAAGGTTTATTTTGGCTCATAGTTTTGAAAGTTTCATTCCATGGTGAGTTGGTCCCATTGGTTTTAGGCCTGTGATGACACAGTATATCATGGAGTATGTGCATGGTAAAGCAAGCTACTCACCTCATGGAGTGTGAGAAGAAAAAGAGAGAAACAGGAAGGGATCAGGGTCTCAATATCCCCTTCAGGGCATGCCCTTGATGACCTAAGAACTCCTACTAGGGTCCATCTCCTACAGGATCTACCACCTCCCAATAGTGCCATAAGATGGGGACCAGGACCAAGCCACTAACACACAGGCCTTTGACATTTATCCAAACCATAACAATGACATTGATGAAAATGGGTTTTTAAATAGGAAAAAAAAAAAGACTTATGGTCCTCATGTGGACTTATTGGGCCCAAGCTCCTTCTCTCACTCTGCTGCAGTCACACCCACCTCCTTGTTCCTTGAAAACACCTTATATCTGAGGGCTTTTGTGCTTGCTGTTCCCTTTTTCTGGAAGGGTCTTTCTCTTTATATCTATAGGCTCACTCCCTTACCTCCTTCAGGTCTTTACTCAGATGTCTCATTTTAGGGATGACTTCTCTGGCCACCTTCTCCAAAAGTACAACCCCTTCCACCCTGACATTGTTCAGCCCTCTTCTCTGCTTTATTTTTCTTTTAGCATTCTATAACACATTAAATAAGACATTAAATATTTACTTATGTTTATTGTCTGTCTCCTCTTACTAGAATGTAAGCTCTATAAGCACAAGGATTTTTATTCAGTTCTGTATCCCTGGCACCTAGAACAGAGCCTGGTACAAAATAGGCTTTTGATAAAAAAGTTAATAAATGAATAAATATATTTAGGTCTTGATATCCATCTTTATAGCTAAGAAGGTATCCATATTAGAATGGTAGATGAGATCCCAACTCCTATCCAAGTGCTATAACCAGCACAGTAACCAGCTCTGTTTCTGTTCATTTAGCAGTCCACACCTGACACAATGGACCACCTGTTTGTTGTCAGGGAAAAAAGCTCTCTGGAGGGTCAAAGAGGGTCTGTTGTTTTTTAATCAGGTCTCTTAAAGCATTTTTGGAAGATTAATGGATTTTGAGATACTAATACTACCTAATGTTTGTAACTTTCAGAATATCATTTTAATGTCTTAAGGTATTTTGTGGTAATTTTCCTCTTAGTCTTTAAAAACCTTCCCAAGAATAGTATCGCAGCTTCATGTTACTTCATATTAATAGRTACCAGTAAGACTGTGACATAACAAGTTAAGTGCTTCTGTTGTAGCTGGAGTGACTTGGCAATTGTGAAGATGGATCCTTGGCAGCATATCTTCTGGGGTGGAGAAGAAAACTTTGATCAGGTGGAGACTTGCTTATCAAGAAAGTTAGGATCTGGGAAAGTCATTGCTTCAGAGACTGGTTGTGAAATGTTGGCATCATAAAGGTGTCATAAATTTAGGCATAGTTTGGCCAAGTCCAGAATGGGCAGTCAAGAAAGTTGGGCCAGCAGCAAGGAACTAACTCAGGATTGATTATTTGAGAACCAGTGGGTAACAGCAGTGATCTCTGTCAGGCCTTTGACACTTATCCAAACCATAGCAATGACATTGATGAAAATGGGTTTTTAAATAGGAAAAAAAAAAAAAAGACTTATGGTCCTCATGTGAACTTATTAGGCCCAATCTCCTTCTCTCACCTCCTTGTTCCTTGAAAACACCTTATATCCTGGCTTTTTCTTAGCCAGGAGACTAAGGGGTCAATAACAGAATCTAGCCCTAAGAAAGAGCGAGGCCCTGGCTGTTCTGGCTGWTAGGGCAGGTCTGGAATACCAGGAAGACAGCCTGTCAACACCAAGAAGAAAACAGGAGGAAAAGCATAATTCAGTACTTGTGCATTACCAGCATGTGTAATATGCCAGTGCATGATGTGTGCAGTAATGGGTAGGAGATGTAGCAACCCATGGGTTTTATGGGAATAAAAAGCTCCCTTGAAGGGCATTGGGACATTGCTTATTGTGTCTGTTTTCTTGCTTCTTTTGGTGGAGTGTGACAGGGTTACAGGGGGTGAGCTTTGGAGTTGGGACTCTGACATTGTGTTTGGAACCAAGCAATTTTATTTCAAGTTTCGGCAGTTTATAGAGGATAGGAGGTTTTTACTTTTCCTATCTCAGCAATATTTGATTCAAGAATTGGATGAAATAGAAGTTGTGGGGTATCAGTAAGTGTAACTGAGAAATGGAGAAAAATAGAAAAAGGAAAAAGGAAATAATTTAAGTTTTTGCTAAGTTGGTGCACAAAGATAAATTTTAAACTAGAATACTTGTGATTTATTAATTTATAATTTATATGCCAGAAGGATCAACTGTGGAAGTATAATTTAATGTATTATATAAAATCTAACTATTATCTGCACATTCAAGGGATTAAACTATCACTTAGTATTTTCACTTTTCTTCTATTTTGAACTAATTTCCTTAAGCTTATTTTTTTAAAAAATATTTTCTTTGTCAATCATTAACATTCACTGATTTTTTCTGTGTATCAATTTTTTTCATATGAGAATGATTCTATTCATTTCCATTTTTCACTTGTGCTTGTAGCAGTCTGATACATTTTTATTTTAAGCTTATGTTAACTTGATTTTTATTAAGTGGAAAAGCCTCCCCACTAGAATTGTCTACATACAAAGCTGTATTTTCCTTGAAGTCTTCTTTGGACTTCTAAGAGTAGAATCATCAGTACCTCCTATCTGCCCATATTATTTTATTGGTAAAATTCTTGAAGGGCCTTGTATTTATTTACTTCACATGTGATATGTTATAACTTTGTGCATACAAGAGGCTTACTGTTTTAAATACAACTAAAGACAAATATTATTGAAAGTTTTCCTACCCTTATAGCACTCTAAATGTTCGGCAAAATTTAGAGTTAATTAAATTTAACATTTAAGTTTTTGAAGACATGTTCACTAAGGACTACCTTACTAGTAAGAAATTTCAGCTTAATTTTTTTTTTCATTGAAGTGAACAGTAGTTGGCTGAATTTCTTGCTCTTGTGAAAATTTCCTGTAGCTTATAAGCCTATGAATCTAAGAAACTCTTTCATGTGGTTCTTGTTCTGATGACTTAGTAGATTGATGCCAAAGGCATTTATTTCTATGGTAATTTGCCATGGTTCTTTCTACCGTCTAAACATCTATCACAGAAGACATTTGAAAGTTTTCTGATGTTAAGTCAATTTCATGTGAAATAACTGACATTGGAGGTTTTTTATATGGTGAGAGCTTAGACTTAATTTTAATAATTACCTTGTCAATGTTTATTGGTGTGTCTTAAATATAAAACATATAGTATGTGGGAGCTGGTAGTTGTCCAGCTTACCTTTTTTCCTCATAATATGGGAGTGCAAAGATATTAATACTWGACAGGAGACTGGCTACTAAATCAAAATCTTACTGACTTAAATTTTTTTTTTTCCCTAGGCAAAAGCTAACGGTTTGCCCTATCATTGATGGAGAAGAACACCTTCGTTTGTTGAACTTTCAGCACAATTTTATAACTCGGATCCAAAATATATCAAATTTACAGAGGTTAATATTCTTGGATTTATATGATAACCAGATTGAAGAAATTAGTGGGCTTTCTACTTTAAGATCCCTCCGTGTCCTTCTCTTGGGGAAAAACAGGTATTCTTAATAGAGATGTTTTTATTTGTAATATAATGTTATGGTATAGGACTAATGTTGAGTCCTGTGGTATTTAGATGACAGTTCAGAATTGAATAAGATCTTAGAAATTATTAGACTAAACTTTTGAAAGAGTTTTTGAATGGATTATGTTTTGGTGGTAGAGTGTTTGTCTACCATGCGTGAGGCCTGGCTGGGTTCAGTCAGTCCCTAGCATCACTAGGAAAAAAAAAAGATTAAATTTTAATTTATTTTATGAGATTCATTCTGAAAATGTGTCATATAACAAACATTCATTGAGTATTTTATTTTCATTGCTTTCCAGTGTCTTATCTTATAAAAAAGACTTTGGCCTTGAATTTGTGCTTTCTTAGGACATGTTTTAAGCATGTTTGTTCACTTTAGCCTTCTGTGTTTCAGTTGCCATACTTCTTAGTATTTGACTAAAGTTGGTTACTCACTACTTTGTGATTGTCAAATCAGTGATTTTTTTTTTCAGATGGTTATTTCAGTATGAGTTATTTAATATTACATTGTTTTTTTTCAGATGGTTATTTCAGTATGAGTTATTTAATATTACATTTTGTATACTTCCTATTCCTTTTATACCGCTCTATTATATAATATAGCTATACAATTCCTAACACATTTCCTTGAGATTTGTTCATGACTTTTCTCTTTATTCTTCTTTACTAAATAGCTTTCCCCCTTTTATTGTTTTTTAAAAATTATATATAACATTGGGATTCATTTTTATATAATTGTAAGGGCGTGGAATATTTACTCTAGTTCAGACCCTATTATTCCTCCTTTCCTTCCCCTCTTCCCTSACTCTATTCCCTACCTTCTACTCTACTGATCTTTCTGCTGTTTACTTTTAGTTTTTGTTTTTGTTTTTAGTTAGTATCTTGTGGATATACATAACGGTGAGATTGACTGTGGTGTTTTCATATATGTACACAGGAAAGTTAGGTTAGATTTATTCCACTGTTCTTCCCTTATCCCATCCCCTTTTCCTCCCCCTCAATCCCTTTCATCTAATTCACTGATCTTTCTTCTATTTTGATGGAATCCCCCCTTCTCTTTTCCCCTTTATTTTAATTAATCATTTTTATGTGGTGCTGAGGATTGAACCCAGCTCCTCACACATGCTAGGCGAGCGCTCTACTGCTGAGCCACAACCCCAGCCCCTTCTCTTTATTTTTGATTAGCTTAAACATATCAGAGAAAATATTCAACCATAAACTTTCTGAGTCTGGCTTATTTCACTTAACATGATAAATACCTACAAAGAAGGGCTGTTTAATAAAGTCCAAAAATGAGTAATATCTTTTCTTCACCCATTGCAAGGTTTACAACTGACACCCTGATAACAAAGATGATTATCAAGAGAAAAGCATAGCACATTTACTTAATATAAGTTTTGTGTGACCTAATAGTCCTCAGAAATTAAGATACAAAGAAACAGGGAAAAGTATTTATTTTTATGCTTAGGTTTAATGGCAAGTGGACACTTATGTAGAAGTGTGATGGGGTATGATACAATGGTGATAAACTGGGGAGAGATTAGTGAGACCTTTTTGTTCAGATTCTTCTTGGTGTCTGTGTTTTTATTCCTTTCTTCTGGTTATAGGGCAGACCCATCTGTATTGAGAGTCTTATTATATCCTTTCAGGGGAGATAGGTCAGGTTTTTTTTATGGCCTTATGGTAGAAAAGTGAGAGAATATCAGAGAGTGATCTTCCTGCTTCTATAGTTTTCTGTTTCCTTTGTTTTAAAATATTCAGTATACCAAAGTGCCATGTTTGTGTTCTTAGCCTGGCACTCTTTATTGTCATTGCCCAATGATAATATGAAATACTTTTTCCAAGATCATGTTTCATAGTTTTAAGATCTCCTTTGTCCTCTGTGATTTATCACCCACAATTAGTTCAAGTGTTAAATTTTAAACATTATGTAATTTGAGAGAATCTGGAGGAATTATAGAATCATAGAATATTAGAGCTTGAAATGACCCTCAAAGATTAGCTCTCTCATTTTGCAGATGTAGAAATGGAGAGGTCAAGTGAATTTGGCAAATTCAGATGTGTACAAAATGTATGCAGTAGGAGTGTGCCACCATAGCACTTCACTGAGAAATGTGAGAAAGTTAGCTTATCATGCATTTATATGGCTTTCCCTGTCAGGCGCTGCTGTTATCTCTCAGCAACATTTCTTTACTACTTTCTGAGTTCTTTATCTAGCTTATATTGATTCCTTAGAACCACTGTCTTTATGTCCTTGATTTAGTCTTTGGGTCATTTTCTTTTTAATATTTTATTAATTGTTGGTRGCCCTTTATTTATTTTTTATGTGGTACTGAGAATCGAACCCAGTGCCTCACATATGCTTGGCAAGCACTCTACCACTGAGTCAAAACCCCAGCCCTGGGGTCAAGTTATTTTCTAAAGATATTTTTAATCTTCTTTTCTGGTTTTAAGCAGTATCTAAGTATCTCTTCTAACAATTTGAAATCGTCTCTGCATCTTTTGTTTTTTTCCTACTTCTACTTTTCTGCTTCTCTGTCTTCTAAGATATAACTTGTTTGTTTTGATAACTTGTGCCTAGAAGACAAAATCTGTCTGCCCTTATTTAGAGTCCCTTTGATCTTCTAACTGTAAGGGACTTAATGACCTTTTACTGTATCCTTATCTCAGTGAAGTAAAAGCAACTCAATACCAACTCTTATTCCTTCTAATTTTCCATCTTCTTTTGTTGTTATTGTTTGTTTATTTGTTTGCTTTTGGTCATCTTTTACTTTATTTTTTCATGTAAGGTAGCTAAATAGTACTTCTAAATAGTAGCAAACAGTTCTAGAACTGTTTGTGTTCTTGACTCAGAAAAAAAGTGAGTCAAGATAACTTTTCACATACTCCTAAATTGCTTATTTCTGATCCCTAAGACATATGTCAGGTGCCCGCTAGCCAGCTGACTGTCACAGTAAGGGACATGTGAACAGTTAGGATGCAGATCTGAAAAGGATATTAGGAAACCTGGCAGAAAATTGTGGAGAAAAGGGAAGCACATCAGCCACTCTGTCTCTTCCTGTTTGTCTCAGGTGACTTGTTGCCCCTCCTGGTCAAGTCCATGAAGGTGTCTCCCTYCCACCTTGTAAGCCACTGTACCATATTTTAGTCCAAAGCAGTAAAACTACATACAAAAATCTCAAGCAATTACATGCCTCTAGGCTCACACAGCCCCAACAAAACTCTCTAAAACTAGAAAGACCCCTGCTCAGATTTTGTGTGTGAAATTGATKTTATTACCAAAGAACTCCCAACCCTACTTTGCTGTTAAAGTTCTTGCCTTCTAATTTTTCTGCCTTGACTACTCTCTGCTTATCTTCTCCAAATTTTCTGGTGTCCTCATGATCAAGGACTCATGAATAGAACTCTGTCTTCTTCTGATCACCTAGGACTATAGATATAAAACTCTGTCAGACTCTGGGATCCTGTGTTCCTTTCCTTTTGACTCCTTGAAATTTCTCATGTGAGGACTTGTCTCTGACACCTAAACAGCTGAGCCTTCATATAGTGCTGTAGTAGGGCCTTTATCCTAGCATCAGTAACATAATTTGGCCTGCGAAGCTGTGATATATTCCTGGAGGTCTGTAGCTACCAAGGTGRGGGGTGAACCTAGTCTATTTCTAGGTTCAATTTCTGTCCTAGAGAATTAAAAAAAAAAAAAAAAACCTTTCAGGTTACATTGCTGTTAATGTGAAAATATTTAGCAATTTGSCAACTGACTAGGATTCTGAAAATTCTTCACATTAATACCTAATCTGACCAGTAGCCTCTTAGGTCAAATGATACCTTCATTTTCTTCTGAAGTCTTTAAAATTGGATCAATTTTTAGGATATTTCAGGTACTGGGGTTGAGGAGAGAATCCACGACAAAGGCAACTAATGAGAAGATTGCACGACGTCTCCCCCGGGTCTTTAGTTTTATTTATTGAGTAACAGACTACATTGATTCTCTAGATGTGAGAACTTTGAGCTAAAATAATCTCTATTATCCCTGGTGCATAGTTTTCAAAATGATAAAATATAATTCTCAGAAAAATAGATAGTAATCACAGACCAATATTTTAATTAGTTCTATAATGCAAAACCAGCAAGATGACAAAACTAGGGGCTGGGGATGTGGCTCAAGCAGTAGCGCACTGGCCCGGCATGCATGCGGCCCGGGTTCGATCCTCAGAACCACATACAAACAAGGATGTTGTGTCCGCCGAAAACTAAAAAATAAATATTTAAAAAAAAATTCTCTCTCTCTCTCTCTCTCTCTTTCTCTCTCTCTAAAAAAAAAAAAGGTTGCTTCTCTCAGCCTCAGTTTTCGCATTAGGAAAATGAAAGCTAATGTCTATTTCAGAGAATTGTGAAGATTTGCAAGATTTGAGTGCCCCTCTTTAAAAAAAAAAGATGACAAAACTAGCTCAAAAAAGGGTAGAAGGAACTGATTATCAATGTTTTAGCAAGCCCTCCAGGTAAATATGATATACAGAGAACCTTGAGAACCATTGTTTTAGGGAATGCCAGCTTGGGAGCATTACATAACCCAATAAAAATCTTTGTTAATAGCTGAGGTCGGATTGCCTTAAGAAAGCTCGACTCTGTTGTAAGCCATTTTAGTAGGATATTGAAATTTTTCTCCAAATGTTCTAGGTATTTTAAGAGTAAAACAGGAAGAGGAAAACTTTTGTAGAATTTTTATCTGGTTCCCACCAGATTCTGGAAACATTTAGTAAGGTAGAAATGTTTTTTGAGGAAGTAAATAATGACAACAGCAATAAGTAGTGATAGACACATGATAAGAAGGATAGATTGGGTGAGATTTTGTCCTTTCTTTGCCAATTCTCCATCTCTGTACTGAACAATGGTGGTAGGATAAGGTAGAGTCTCTAGGAACAAGAAAAAGTTGCTAGTATTCCTTGCTCTTATTGTAAGAAGAGTCCAGTTGGGGATACAGGTAAAGTAGACATAAGACAGGAATGAGAGGGATAATGGGTAAGCTTATAAGAGGGGCTAGAGGAGGCATTTTAAAGGTAAAAATGTGTTTTTCTTTTTTAAAAATAGAACCTTGCTATATTGCCAAGACTGGCTCTGAAATAAAAAGTTCTAATTAAATTTAAGTGTTTTTACAAAGCAGGTCTAATAGAGAGCATTTAGATGGTGCATAATTGTGTGATAAATAATTCTATAATGGAAAACCTTAGAACATTAAACTTATCCATTTAATTATTGTGGTCATTCATTTACTAAACTAAAATTTATGGGCACTTACTTGGTACTTTACTGTGTGAGTGCTGAGGCTAGAGTAGAGAACATGTCAAAATTTCTTTCTTTCTTTTTTTTTTTTTTTTGAGTACTGGGGATTGAACTCAGGGACGCTAATCACTGAGCACATCCCCAGCTCTATTTTTTATTTTATTTAGAGACAGGGTCTGAGTTGCTTAGGCCCTTGCCATTGCTGAGGCTGGCTTTGAACTCGACATTCTCCTGTCTTAGCCTCCCAAGCTGCTGGTATTACAGACGTGTAGCATTGCATCCAGCTTTCTTTCCTCTTGAAGTTCGCATTTTGATATGGTCACAGAGATGATAAAATAGTATACATGTAAATAAAATAATTTTAGGCAATGCTTAATGCTATAAAGTCCAATAAAACTGGRGAAGGAGAGCATAATGGGGATAAGAAGGATAGCTATTTTAGATAGAATCATTTCTGAGATGTTTGAGCTAAGACCTGAATAATGTGAGGTCATGAACCATGTGAAATTCTGGGAGAAGAACATTAAAACAGAAAAAACAGTAAGGGTAAATAATCTAAGGCAGAAATAAACCTGTCAAGTTAGAGGCACAGGAGAAAAAGGCCCTGTGACTGGAACAGAGTGAGACAGTGAGCCTGTGGTAGAAGAAGCTGGCAGAAAAGTCAGCAGCCAGATGGTTCAATACCTTATAGGCAGAAGTGAGGAGTTCAGATTGTATTCTTAGGTGAAGGGAACTACCTTGAGTCAGAGCTTTGACCTAAGGTTCTTAGAGGTAGAGTTGCTTTTCTCTAAATGTACATTTTTATATCTTTCCTCCTAATGCACTGCATCTTTAAAATATAATTAAAGCAAAGAAAAATATGTTGTTTAATACATATATTTATAACTATTATATGTATTTAGAGAGAGAAGAGAGTAAATTAAAATATTAAAATGTAAATGTAAATATAAAATATTTGCAACTTAGCATGCTTTGCTTTACTGATAGATGTGACATACACATAKTTCTCTTCAACTTATTGTACTTGTTTTGATTTTCAGAATCAAGAAAATCTCAAATTTAGAGAATCTAAAAAGCCTAGATGTTTTGGACCTTCATGGAAATCAGGTATTGTTCAGCCCTTTTCTTCTTTTGAAAAATGCCCGAGAAATTTGGTATTGTAAAAGTTTTAAGAATCATACACTGAATTTTTCAAGAGTTACTTTACTGGGTCATTGAAATTAATAGGAAATTAAGCTTATTTTTGCAAGATATGATAATTCATTAGAAGTTAATTGATTAAAAAAAACATTTGTAATCCTTATGGTTACAACTTAATTTTCTATTTATTTTTTTAGTAACTTAATTTTAATATTCACATTACGCAACCCTATACTCAAGAAATAGAATATTACTGACTTTATGCTACTTAAGTGTTTTTCTTTCATTTTATACCCTTATTTCTTCATCAGAGGTAACCACTACTTTGGATTTCACACTACCATTCCTTTGTAGGTTTTTAATTGATTTCTTCTTGGTAAGGAATTGAAGGAATTGGTGTTTTATCTTATAGCACACTGTTTAAAAAACTATAACATAAATGAARCATTTTATAGTAGCAATTTTTTCTTAGGTTTATTTTAAATTATATATGTGAGAAATATAAGACATATTTCTGTTTTTCAAATTACAGTGTATCTTTCAGAATTCATAGGAACTATCCAGGATCTTAAAAATGCACCTGGTAAATAAATGCCACCATTCAGTCTAAACATTACCAACCATTATGTTGATGAAAAATGCTCTATTTCTTGTTAGCTCACCTGTATTATATATCTTATATTTCAGCATGTTTGTGATATTCTGTGTATTAAGAATAAATTTTATACTATATGAATTATTTCTCAAGGTTCAAATGAAAAATCTGAGTCTTGTTTCAAAATAGCTGAATCCAAAAAGCAAAAGTTTGGAATATTTCAATGCAAAGATGAATAGTCTTAGTGACCTTAGGTTTTTAAAAAGTTAGAAGATAAACTATTCAAGTTGACACAATTAATGTCTGGTTCTAAAAATTTAGCATCACATAGTAAAAAATGAACAGAAATTAAGAGAATTTTTTTCTTTTGAATTTACTTCCATTGGAAATAAAAATCATTTAACGCACATTATGAAATAAAACAAATTTGATATGTGGATATAAAGGTGTTCTGAGGAATGATGATGGAATTCAGGAAATGGATTGGAGAATTTAAAAGTTGGAGAGGGGGATCTGTCTTCGGACAGAGAACAGTTAAGAGGATAATCATAGTAATCTTGGTGAGAAGTGATGGTGGCATAAAAGTAGTCTCAGTGGGGATTTAATAAGGACATAATTGAATAAGTATTTTAAAAGTAGAAAAATTAAGAGATAGCATTTGGTATATGACTTGAGGAATCTGAGTAGGTTGACTCTCAATTCTGATCTGTATTCTGTGTTTGTGTTAACTTTCTAAAGAAGGAAAGATTTATTTTGGCTCATGGTTTCAGAGGTTCTAGTTCATAGTCAGCTGGCTCCATTGCTTCATGGACTGTGATAAGAAGGGCATCGTGGCAGGGAAGGGGTGGTAAAGCCAAGCTGTTCACCTCATGGTGGCCATCAAGAGAAGAGAAGGAGAGGAAAAGAAGAGGGTGGGGACAATATATCCTTCAAGGACACTTCCACAGTGACCTACTTTCTCCAATTAGGCCCACCTCCTAAAGTTTCCTACCACCTCTCAATACACCAGCCACTGGGGACAAAGCCTTGAACACGTGAGCCTTTGGGGGACATTCCAGTTCTGAACTATAACGGTGTTGGTCTTTCTGATTTTGTTCTCTTAGGGATGCTTTAAGAAAGCACAGATGCTTCAATAAGACTCCATTTTTTCAGGGATATCTTTCTCAGGGATGAGGTGAAGACCCAAAGAAAGGATGAAGTGAAGACCCAAAACACCCTTCAGGGAACATCTCAGTGACCTAAAGATCTCCCTCTAGGYCCCACTTCTTAAAGGTCCACTGTACCTCTTAATACTACCTCCCTGGGGACCAAGCCTTTACATATGGACTCCTAAACCATAGCCACAGATCAAATAATTAGTACCTTCACTTTATATATTTATATTTTTCTTGAATTCATAGAATTTTATTTTACATATTTAAACATTGCTTCTTTTCTACTTATGTTTATTATAGTCACACTGCTTGTTTTCCATATTCCCATATTATCTTTTTTCTTCCTGTCTCTGTTTTTTCTTTATATTTTGGGAGAATTTCTCAAACTTGTGTTAAGATTACTGATATCTTTTTCTACAATGTCTATTTTGCAATTTTACTAATTCCATACATTTCAAATTGTGTCACCTATTTAGTTTTGACATATTTTACTCTACATCTTATTATATAGTTGTGCCATCTGCAAATATTTATAACCTTGTTTGTTCTTTTCCATTAATTTTACATCAATTAGAAAAAAATCAAAACAAATTTTAAACATAATCTCAGGTTACTTTATCTATTAGTGAATTTTCAATAAACACGTCATGTTTCTCTTGAAACTAGAGGAACTTAGATGGTGTTTCTTGAATGTAAAAACATCCAAATAACAACATGGAAACTGGATTATAAATCTAAAAAAAGTTCTCATAGCTAACATGTTTTTGAAGTGTTAGATAAAAAATTCATATAATACTATGATGGCAGTACAAATGGACAGAATAATCTCTAGTGACTGAATTCTTTTTAATGTTCATAATAAAAATATGATGACTCATTGTTACTTAAATACATTATATCAAGAGATTGATGAAGATTCCTTTTTTGTGTCATGCAAAAACATATCCTGTTGTGCTACACTTGCTATCTGTAAATAATGGGGTTTAATCTTGGTGATCTCTTATTACTTCATGGTGATGAACTCAGACTCCTCTGCTGCAGTTCAGTGCTGATGTACATATGCATATTCCATGATTCAAGTCCTCTTGTTCTAAATATTTAGTGTCTAGCATACTGCACCCTGACTAAGCACTATCTCTCTCCTCTTTTAAACACTTCTAATAAAACAGTGTCCATTCTGACCTTCCACTGGGGATAATGGTTCCTTGAATTTTTCCATTCAGACTCTTGACTGCTCTCAGGATCTTGTAGTATAATAGAGTTAACATTAGTATAGTATAATATAATAATAGTATAGTATAATAATAGTATAATAGAGTTAACAAGGGGAATTTGGTATCATTCTTTTYCTTGCCTTTTCTCTAAGAGGGAAGACTTCTTTGTAAAAACAATGTGAGCTTATGCCTTGGGCTCATAGTAAGTTTCTATTTGGCAGCTAGTACATAGCCTTTACAGGACCTGGCAGTGTTGGGCACTTAGAACTCCTCCCAATTGTAGACCGATTGATTTTTTTGATGAAATTTACTTGAAATATTTACTGTGGTCAAATTGYAAAATGTGATCCTTTAGTTGAATGATTTCTTTTATCTATTAGTGAATATCATCTACATCATAGGAAATTTGAAAATAGAGTTAAAATGTCTTCATATGAACTTGTCACTAAATGTCACTAAATACAATGAATTTGAATGTTTTATTTTTTTATAATATATATATTTATTAGATATGCTAATCATTTCTCCCTTATTTTTTTTAACAGATTACCAGAATTGAAAATGTCAACCATTTGTGTGATTTGAGAGTTTTGAATCTTGCCAGGAACCTTTTGGGTCAAGTTGATAATCTTAATGGACTGGATTCACTAACTGAACTTAACCTGCGACACAATCAAATCACTTCTGTGGTGAGTGTTAAAATGGAATCAATATGTGCCCTTTAAGGAAATTATACAAACGTTACAGCATTGCTTTACACAAAGTTAGAATCTAAAGTTATTTATTTTTCTGAATTTAAATTGTGGGTATAATTATTAAGTTTTAAAATATGTTGATTTGGAAAATAGTAAATTTTCCTATTTTAAAGGACATATATATATATATATATATATATATATGTGTGTGTGTGTGTGTGTGTGTGTGTGTGTGTGTGTGTATAACTAGAAACAGAAGTATTATCACTAAATGAATCAGCTATCACTAAATGAATACTGAATATTTTCTTGTTTGGTCATGGGTAAGAATGAGAAAGAAGGAATGTTATTGGTGAATGAGAGGATTGATGAATTAAGAAATTTTTGCAACAAGGAAGAAAAGGCACAGAGAGGAGAAGTGGGGTTGTGGAGATTCACATTAACATGCCTTGTGGTTTTTTTAAGAGGCTGCTTGATAGAGTGGAAAGAGCATTGCAGAGGGTATAAAAGGCCTAGTTCTGGTCTCAGCTTCACTTCTAATTATGTGATATTGGGTAGATAACATATTCTCTGGGCCTCAGTTTAGTTTTTTCTAAAACAAGGACATTGGGCTAGATTGTCTTTAGGGTCTTACTGGCTTATTGATTCTGAAAAAAACACTTAACACGTTTTCTTTATTTAAACACTGTAAAAAAAACCCCAAAAAACTACTTTCTGGTAGTGTTGAAGCACCTTGTAAAGGCACAATCTAACATAGCTCTTTCAAGATGTTGAGTTCCTTAGTCAAGACTTAAGTGGGCTATAAGTAGTATACTGGAAAAGGTTGAGACAGAAGATGCCTTATCTCTAGTTTCATTTTGAAGTTTTCTCAGAAAATTCAGGCCACACATGTAATGCTCATATCTTCTAGAAGATTAGAATCATTTCAGACCCTTCTTTAAGACATGGATTTATTCTAGAACTTATAAATGCTATTTATCCCTCCCTAGATAGGGTATGAATATTGGAACTGGACTACTTATCTTAAAAGACATGTATATAGGTTAATCTTTTGCATTGCTAGATCTCCAGAAACTGCTCAGTCAGGACTTAATCTGTCCTCAGAACACTGGGTCTGGTAAGAATCCAAAACAGAAATCTATTAGCCCTAGCACTTTCCTGTCTATATTTTGGCTTTCTTTTGGAAAGTACATAATACACATCCTGGAAATTGCTTACTAGATTTCCCGTTGAGTATTATCTTTAATCATTACTGTTATAGCTTAGGCAGCAATAATGTCTTATGGAAAGGAAATTGTATTAATTTCTAAAAATTAAAAAAAAAAAAAAACGGGACTGGGGTTGTGGCTCAGTGGTAGAGCGCTTGTCTAGCATGTGTGAGGCCCTGGGTTTGATCCTCAGCACCACATATGAATAAACAAAGTAAAAAAATCATTGGCAACTAAAAAATATTTTAAAAATAGACAGTAGTAARTATTGTATATATTATGTAGCTGTCAGAATGATGGGTATGATACATGTTCATTATATGAAATTGTGAATATAAATATAATCTGAGGATACAATATTTTTTCCTTTCCTTGGGGCAGTTATCACACTTAATGTTTTTTTCTTTCATGATTTTGATTTTTTTTTCAATGACTACTAATGTTTAAATGAAGGACCACGTTAAGTAGTGGCTGAATATTCTGTGCAGCTGAACAATTCTTTTTTTACCATGAGAATACTCTCTAAAATAATCAGTGGATTGTGTGACTTTTGAATCCCACACATTGGCCTTTCACACATTGGTGAGTGAAAGAGGAAAGGCAGGTTCACTGTGTAATTGCCCAAATAAGAAAGATTTGGCTTTGGGGGATAGGTGGACTCTAGTTTCTCTTGTGCCAGGAAAAACTGTCATTTCTTCTTCATTTCCCTCTGATTGTGTTGTAAAGTCATTAACTATCTCCCTAGGTAAAATACCCACACTCTCCCAACCTATCTTTACTAATAATTCATTTTGTTTAGAGACAGTTCTGAGGCTTCAGATAAGGAGTTCTTCAGGGAGCTTCTCTGTATGTGCTTTATATAGATGATATGAGTGGGAGCCGGGTAGATTTGTTGGTGTTCTAGGAATAGCTGTTGAGTAGACAGACCTTCAATTACACACCTACTTGATTTGTCATAGTTAACTACAATCTCTGCCTGCTCTTTGTCTGTCCTCACTTTCATCATAGATTAAGATGGCCTTCTGTCAAGAAAGAATRTCTGCATCAAGTGCAATATCTCCCTGCAGTTTTAAACCACAATTCTCTCCACTCAGAGTCTCTAAGATCCCATCAGCTTTCCAGCTAACTGAAATTTCATCAAAAATGTTGGCCTGTGAAGGCATCTTTCATTTTCATGATTTTTGTGAATTTACTGATTTTAGTATGTTTTATATTTCTTTACCCATTGCCTACTTCACCATCATGAGGAGAAACTTCTGATTTTTTTTTTTAATACTGGGAATTGAACCCAAGGACACTAAACCATTGAGCCACATCCCCAGCACCTCTTGCCCCAGCCTTTTTAAAAAAATTTTAATTTGAGACTGGGTTTCCCTAAATTGCTTAGGGCCTTTCTGAGTTGCTGAGGCTGCTTTAGAACTTGCAATCCTCCTGCCTCAGCCTCTCAAGCTACTAGGATTACAGACATGTACCACTGTGCCTGGCCTGATGTTTTTGATATAGAATAGTTATTGTTTGTTTGTTCATTTGCCAGTCTTTCTCTTGAAAATTTTATACATGTCAAACTAAATATCCTTTAAGCTTGTATGGTTCCTTCCACATATGAGAGAAAAATTCGACCCTTGATTTTCTGAGCCTGACTTATTTCACTTAGCATGATGTTCTTCATTTTCATCCATTGACCAGTAAATGTCATAATTTTATTCTTCTTATGGCTAAGTAAAATGCCCTGGTGTATGTTTATATGCTATAATTTCTTAATTCATTCATCTATATTGTCAGGCATCTGGTTGATTCCATAATTTGGCCGATGTGAATTGTGCTTCCTTGAACGTTGAGATACCTATATCACTATAGTTGGCTAATTTTAGTTTGTTTGGATAAATACCAACGAGTGTAATAGGTGAGCCATATGGTGGTTCCATTCCTAGTTTTTTGAGGAGTCTCTATATTGCTTTCCAGAGTGGTTTTGCTAATCTGCAGTCCCACCAGTAATATACAAGTATACCTTTCCCCCAATATCCTTGCCAGAATTTATTATTGTTTGTATTCTTGATAATTGCCATTCCAACTAGAGTGAGATGAAATCTTTGTGTAGTTTTGATTTGTATTTCCCTGATTGCTAGAGATATTGAACATTTTTAGTATATTTGGTGGCCATTTGTGTTTCTTCTTTTGAAAAAGTCTATGTTTAGCCTTTTGTCCATTTATTGGTTGGGTTGGTTTTTGAGTTCTTTATATATTCTGAATATTAACACCCTCTCAAAGAACCAATCTGCAAAGATTTTATCCCATTGTGTAGGCTTTTTCTTCATGCTCTTAATTGTTTCCTTTGCTGTGCAGAAGCTTTTTAATTTGATGGCATCCCAATTATTAATTCTTCATTTTATTTCTTGAACTTTAGGGGTCTTATTAAGGAAGTTGGTGCTAGCACCAATATGAGTGTTAAYCCTATGTTTTCTTCTAGCAGTTGTGAAGTTTCTGGTCTAATTCCTAAGTTTTTGATCTATTTTGATTTGACTTTCATGCAGGTTGAGAGATAGGGTCTAGTCTATTTTCATTCTTTACATATGGCTATCTGGTTTTCCTAGCACCATGTGTTTAGAAGGTTGTCTTTTCTTCACCAAATATTTTTGGCACCTTTGTCAAGTATTAGATGGCTGTAAATATATGGATCTGTCTGTCTTCTATTCCGTTCTGTTGGTCTTCATGCTTATTTTGATGCCAATACCATGCTATTTTTGTTACTATAGCTCTGTACTATAACTTCAGGCCAGGTATTGTGATGCCTCTTGCTCGGTATTGCTTTGGATATTCTGGGTGTGTAATTCTTCCAGATGAATTTAAGGATTGGCTTTCTTTTTTTCAAATTTGATGAATAATGTCACTGATATTTTGATGAGAATTCCTTTAAGTGTATATATTGCTTTTGGCAGTATGGCCATTTTGACAATGTTAATTCTTCCTATTCAAKAATGTGAAGCTTTTAATTTTCTAAGGTCTTCTTCAATTTCTTTTTTCAGCATTCTACAATGATCTACCTCCTTAATTAGATTAATTCTCAAGTATATTTTTGAAATTATTGTGACTGAAATGGTTTTCCTTATTTCTTCCTCAGCAGAATCACTGTTGAAGTATAGGAAGTACATTTATTTATGGGTGTTAGTCTTGTATCCTGCTACTTTGCTGAATTCATTTATTAGCTCAAGTCTTCTGGTGAAGTTTTTTGGGTCTTTATATGTAAGATCATATCATTTTCAAAGAGAGATAGCTTGAYTTCTTTTCCTATTTCTATCTCCTTAATTTTCTTCTCTTACCCAATTGCTCTGGTAAGTGTTTTGAGAACTATATTGAATAGAAGTTATGTGTGGTACTTGTCATGTTCCTGATTTTAGAGGAAATACTTTCAGTTTTTCTCCATTCAGTATAATGTTGGCTTTGGATTTTTCATAGATAATCTTTATAATGTTGAGGTAAATTTCTTCTATGTCTAGCTTCTCCAGCATTTTTAACAGATCCATATATTTACAGCCATCTTCTTCATTTATTTTTAATGAATGGGTACTGGATTTTATTGAAGGCCTATTCTGTTTCTATTGAGTTGACCATGCAATTCTTGTTCTTAATTCTATTTAAGTTGAATAAATAGAATATGCTGAATAATCCTTGCATCCCTGGAATGAACCCCACTTGATCATGTGTTTATGAATGTGGTTTTATTTTATTTAAAAATAAAATTATTTTATTTAAGAATTTTTTCATCTGTACACATTTGGTGTATTGGTC